GAGGCAATCACGATGGTCAGGCAGTCGGCCAGCAGCTGGAACAGAGGAAAACAAACGGAACAGGTGAGTCTCAGCCAAACAGGTATGTAAAATTGCGTTTACTGTACTGTAATGTTTGCTCACCCTGAAGTTGTCAGGATCCACGTGCAGTTTCTCGGAGTGCAGCACGCTCAGCTCGGCGTAGGTGTTCTTGATGTCATCCATGTTCTTCATGGCTCTGTCCAGTCCGTGGAGCACGACGGTTCCGTGGGCTGCGACCTTTGGGTTGTTAATGATGGCCTCAGCATTGTACAGGTTTCCAAAACTTCCAAAGTATCTCTGAGTCCAGGGATACACAATCAAAGCCCTGTAAAATACAACAAATGCATAATTTAAAATGATAATAGGCCTAATGTATTTTTACTATATAAATTATGATATTGGGAATACATACCTCTGCAGTGCTTTGGGTCCAGCCTCCTCATAGTTGAGTTTGCTGAAGATGTCCTGGATGAAGGCACGTTCCTCGGCGGTCCACGCAACCATGTTGTTGATTTATGATTTTCTTCTCTGTCAAGAACAAGAATCATACCTTTGCACAACTCTCGATTGTATTTATGTCATCGGGTTGCTAAGGCGGTGCATATTCGCTCATTTGATTGGCTGGCACATTCAGGTGGGCAGGACGCTGAAGTAGTGATGGTGAACTCTAAGAATCTTCAATCTAGTTAGTCAAAGTTACGCCCAACTTTTAATGAAAGTTATAGGTAGCCTAATATAAAACGATGCAGTCCTGCATAGGCTATACTTGCAAAATTTTGAAGCTTTATGGTCACAAGCACTAACAGAGTTTTTGTCCACTGACCTTCATCACTGCAGTTCTCAGCCTATTACATTTATAGAAAAAAATGTGATGGATATAAAAGGAAAATCCACATAATATGGCAAGGACAGTCTAATGTAACATATTGATATATTAAAAAAACAATAGAATATTAGATTCATCTTTTTAAATCCTTGTCAACTCAGTTAGTAATATGACTTTCATAAATGACCAAATATTGCGTCTCGGTTGTTATCTCGCGCACGCACGCGCGTCTCTGAACGCCTCTGTCTGTCTTATCTTGACTCACAGATGCGCCACTTACGCTGATGTCAACGTGAAATGCATATTTCCAGACTCATCAAATAAAAGGGCGTGGGCATTTTATCGATTAACCAGACATAATTTATATCAGAGTCAATTAATGAAACACACGATTTATAAATCAATTCCGAATAGAAGATCAGATTCGTCAAAAGCAGTCGTTTTCAAAATAGTACAATTATTATTTATGTACTTCACAGTAATGTATGTTTTTATTACACTTGCTGTTGTTTTGTCAAATGTTGCAATATTATAACAGGTTGCATGCTTAATATACCTGGGATAAATTAATGTTATATAACAATAATGAGAATAATAATTTAAAAATAATAATAATAATAAATATTGTTATTGTTTTTTTTTATTATATTTAATTATGATTATTGTTGCTTTCATTATTATTATTATTATTATTATTATGATAAGGGTTTGGACATTTATCGATGAATTAATTATCGATAAATAAATGATTTGCAAATCAATTTAGAATAGTTTATTAATTGATTGAATGATTGATTGATTTTATTGTGGGAAAACAAATGTATAATTATTTATTTATTATTATTATTATTATTATTATTATTATTATTATTATTATTATTATTGTAATGATTACTATTATATTAATCACAATGTTATTATGAAAAAAAATCATCATAATCATCATAATATGAAAAAAAATCATCATAATCCTTTTCTTTTTATTATTAGTAGCCTATGGTATGATTATCATTATTGTTATGTGCTGTTTTTGCGAGAATTAAAGATGATAAACATCAATTAAAAGTAAAAGAATGTTGTTTTGAAAAGGCCATTACTAAAACAAAACGTGGTGCAGAAACATTTTAATCTTAAATTGCTAGTGAGTGAAATTAAATAAGATTACTTTTTACATTACATAAATGTATCAAATTAATTGAAAAACCTAATTAACTTATAAAGATTGTGTTTTCTTTGCACTAAAGATGCTGACGTGATCTGATTGGGATCTGACCCCATCTTTTTTTTTGGCTTGCGACCCAAACACGCAAGCACTTTTTTTTAATCATGCTACCCCAAAAACGAGGTGGGTAAAATGGGCATCATGTCAGTTTTCAAAGTTCTCTGGCAGAAGTTCAATCTGGGACGCAATTAAGCCGTATCTTGGGCGTGTCCGCTCAACCACAAACGCTTAAAAAGAGGAGCAACATGTAGGTGCGCACGTCTGATCATCCCAGACATCGATTCAAAATGAGTCTTTCTGCTAAAGACAAGGCCGCCGTGAGGAGCTTCTGGGCCAAGATTGCCCCAAAGGGAGAGCAAATTGGTAACGAGGCGTTTTCCAGGTGAGTAAAATCATAATTGCAAGGCTATTTCTAAAACAATTATTTAGCTACATTGTTTAAAACACTTTATTAAAATGAGCTGAAACAACACAATTCTTGAGATTGTTTGGGACAACTTAATTGTTTTATGTTCAATCTACCAAAATTTGTTAATTTAATCGATTTGGTTGGGATAACATGGATAGTTTGTGTGGAAACCTGCATTTTTTTACTGTGTAGTGGCATGCAGAGCAATAGTTGGGAATTTTGTAACTACAGTTTAACACAAAACTATGGACTCAATAACAATACATATAAGTAGCCTATTTGTTTGGTACAAAACGCGCTGTCTTCACTTTTTTAGTAATTAAAATTAACATAATTGATTTTCAAATAATACAAATGCCACATTACAGATTTAAGTAAGCCTATAATCTCATATGTAAACCTCAAAATGTATTAATATTAATATTTTTTATTTTGCAGATTGCTTTTGGTGTACCCTCAGACCAAGACCTACTTCTCCCACTGGAACGATCTGGCCCCCGGCTCTCCCTCTGTGAAGAAGCAGGGAAAGAAGATCGTCGGTGGACTCGGTCTGGCTGTTGATAAAATCGACGACCTTTTCAACGGCCTGCTGAACCTCAGTGAATTGCACGCCTTTCAGCTGAGAGTCGACCCTGCTAACTTCAAGGTATACGCTACAAACCACTTGTTGTTTATTGCTAATTGAGTCCAACAGTTGCAGCTGTCGTACCTAAAATTGTGTGTTAATTTTGGCTTGCAGCTCCTGTCTCACTGTCTGCTGGTGGTGTTCGCCATGCTCTTCCCTGATGACTTCACCGCTGAGGTCCATCTGGCCATCGACAAGTTCCTGGCAAGAGTGGCTTTGGCTCTGTCTGACAAATATCGTTAACTCTTCTGTTTAACAGCATGAACGTGGTTTTGTCGATATGGTCAACAGCATGTCAATAAAAACAAACCTAAAGCGACTTCACCCTGAGTGTTTGCGTGCTACTCTGATTCACAGTGGGCTGATTATCATATTAATTCTATATGAAATAAAAACATTTTTTAAATCACTTGACCAGATTAAAACTGGCCTCTGAAATAAGTCAAGGTTGATCTGGAGATCATTAAAATTATTAACATTTTCATTGGCTTATAATGTAGGTTAATAATAAACATTTCACACATTAAACAATAACATATGCAACACATAATTAAAAATTATATATGACACATATAAATAAATAAATAAATAAATAAATAAATAAATAAATAAATAAATAAGATGACAGTATAAAAATAAACACACTTTATATTTCAATGTAATTTCATATAACATTAATTGAATATTAATATACTCTAATCAATTTTATTGCATTTGTTTAGAAAAAAAAGAATAACATAAAATTTTAATTAAAATAATGATAAAATAAAAAATAATAGGATGCACCATATTTAAAATTAAATCAACTTAAAAATAATGACAAAATAAAAAAATAATTAGGACACAACAGAAATTATATAAACAGAATATAAATATTACGATTGGTTTATAATAGGAATATCAAACATAAGCAGCATGCTGAGTGGCTTTGAGACACAAGACACATTTTAGCGAGGGTATTTAAGGTCATAAACCTCATATCCTAATTGTATGAAGAAAAAGCAACAGAGTTGTCAAGGAACTGCATGCACATGGAAGGCAACATATAGTTAAGGGCTTTTTCACATAAAGGTACAAAAATAAAGTGATTAAAATACTTACAAAAAGTGAGTAAACTCTTTGCCTGAAAATGGTAAGTTGAATTTTAAGACAACTGGTTTTCTCACTTTTTTTAAAGCAAAGTAAACTAATCACATTTATTGTTTATACATTAAAAAATAATTGCTAAAATGTACTTATCTATTATATCTAATATCTTTATGTATACTGTATTCTATATACAGTGCTCAGCATATATAAGTACATCCCTCACAAATCTCTCTTTTAAATTAATATTTTTAATAGGAAGCTTTACAATATTAAATTTGTGCATATACATTAGATTAGTCAGTACTGAAGCCAAATCTGGAGCTTATCTTACAAAATAATTATGATAACAGCCCAATAACTAGTAAACCCAAATTTACATTACAAAAAAATATTAAATACAAATTTTAAAAATAAAAGAGAAGACAAAAAATATAAAAAAGAATTTCTAGAAATTTCGTAGGTTGTAATATTTTTTTAAATATCATTTAATAAATATATATGTTAATAAATCTGATTTGTTTAAATACACCAAAATACAAATGTCTATATTCACTGTGAATGGATAAAAAAAAATCATCTTTAAAATGGGTGCACTCAACTATGCTGAGCACTGTGTAGTACTAGTCAAAAGTTGGAAAAACGAATGGGAAAAGGTTTTTACCGGTACTGTTCTATAATTTGCATGTAAAGAAATCATAATTTTTTTACTCCAATATCAACCCCAAAAACCCTGTCAGGCTCTATAATCATATTTGATACTGAACTGAAATATAGCACTTCTGAATGAATAATAAACAAACAAACAATCTTCAATAAAACATATTTAATAATAACGACTCAATAATACATAATTACTTTAAAATAAGCCAATTAAAATAAAGATAACAGAGATATAGTTATAACACAATGTTAATATAAAAATATCTAATAATGTTTATTTCAAGTAAATTATAAACAACAGCCTGGAAAAAAAAATAACTATTTTATGTCATTTCATTTTATGCTTGGAAAAAAAAACATTTAAAAAATCTCCATTTATAATTAAAGTTAAGCGTGCTAACCCACAGTACTAAACAGAATAGATATTAGAAATATCTACACTCTACTTAGAAATAATGATGATGTCATGTGTAGAAAGGTTTTAACATGCTGATGTCAAGCTCCAGTTTTATTTCATTACAACCCGTAGCTTTTCATCTCCAAGCAGAAGCCTGTTAAAACAATAAAAAATGCTTACTTAATTTTAATGTCACTATTAACAAAGACTTTAGCTCAATAAGTCACTCATTAGCTGCTCATTAATAGGTAGTAAGGTTGTAGTTGGGTTTAGATTGGGTAGGACTAGGGATGCAGAATAAGATCATAACTTTAATAATCTTAATAATAGGAGGGTAGTAAGCCAGTGAATGGTTTGGATTGTTACTTAAACTTATGTGTTACCATATCAATGTTCATTTCTTGACCACAAAACTTGAGCAAGAAACAATGTAATATTTTAAATGAAAGCACACTGACCTCATAAGAGCGGCAGCCACCAGACCACCTCCCAACGGACCGACCCAATAAACCCAGTGATAAGTCCAGTGGTTTGCCATGAGTGCAGGTCCAAAAGCTCTCGCAGGGTTCAAACAGGTGCCAGAAACATCTCCTCTATTAAATAAAACAACATATACATTCAAATGGTAACTCTTAGGTTGTTTTAGTTAACGTTAATGCATTAATCAACATGAATTAACAATGAACAACACATCTGTCTAGTTAATCTTTGCTAACGTTAACTAAATATATTATAATGTGTTTGTTGATGCATTCGTTAAGGTGAATGATGAGCAATGACTTCGTTCATCAGCTGTAAACTTAATATTCTAATCTAATGCATCTCTTTACATTAACAGTTTTATTAGTTAATGTATTTATTTGAGGATTTGATAGCATAACATAGCGAACAACACATTAATTCAGCAATAATCTTTGCTAATGTAAACGTACTAGTGTTGTTATAGTTGAAGCAACATGAACAAATAATTAACAATGACACAACACAATCTTGCATGTTATCCATGCTTATAGACTCTTTACTAACATGATTTATCATTAACAAAGCATTTGTTAAGGGGATTGGAGCCTTTTAGTAAAGTGTACACTATTTAAAATTTTGATTAATGCAGTATTAACATGTGTTGACTTTGTTAACAGGATTTATTATTAGCAAAATTCTTATTTTTATTTTTTGAACTTCTGACACATGATCCAAATGTAAATTTATTGTTTACAGAGCAAAGAAAATCTCATAGTAATTCATAAAATATTTTTCTCTCCTGGAGAAAGTCTTGTTTCTTCTAAATTGGCTATCATATGAGCAGTTTTTTTTTTAAACAATGTTTAAGGTCAAAATTGTTAGTACCTTAAAATAATTAATTTATTTTTGATTGGCCACAGAAAAAAACACTGTTGTCCAATTTCTTGCCTAACTAACCTAACTTAATTAACATAAACCTAGTTAAGCCTTTAAAGCTTTAACTCAATATAACTAAAAAGCACATTAAGCTCAATAAAGTATTATCATCATGGCAAAGAAAAATTATATTGGATTTTTAAAAAAATGTAAAAATGTGTTGAAAAAAATCTTCTCCACATTATAAAAACAGCACTGGAAAAATATTTTATTTATTCATTCATTCATTTTCCTTCGACTTAGTCCCTTAGTTATCAGGGGTCGCCACAGCATAATGAACCACCGACTATTCCAGCATATGTTTTATGCAGCATATGCCCTTTCAGTTGCAAACCATCTTGGGAAACACCCATAAACTCTCGCATTCACACATGCACCTATACACTACGCCAATTTAGTTCAACCAATTCACCTATAACACATGTCTTTGGACTGTGAGGGAACCAAAGCACCAGGAGGAAACCCACCACGCCAACAGGGAGAACATGCATACTCCACACAGAAATGCCAACTGGCACATTCAGAACGCAAACTAGCGACCTTCTTGCTATGAGGCAACAGTGCTAACCATTGAGTTAATGTGCCACCGAGAAAACATGTACAAATTTCACATTAGGGCAAATAAGTTTGACTGTATATTTGAGTTCAACTGTATACCTCTTTGTGGTCACATCAGAAACACAGTACAGATAACACTGAAATAAGAGTGCTCTATTGTGTACCTGTCAATCAGATATTTAAGTTAAGAATTACCCATACCATTTGTGATTTTTTTTCTCTTCCCACTAAAAGCTGTATCTCTTTAACGTAAAGCAAACACAGCAAAAACAGAACTGTCTGTCATATTATTATAAAAACAATAATTATACCTTCAGTGTCACATGATACCTCAGAAATCATTCTACTAATGGACATTCGCTTGTTATTCAAATATTAGATATTACTGACAATATTTCACAACAAGAGTGTATTGCTGTATACTTTTCATCAAGTAAATACACACTGTAAAAAGCATTTAGTTACTTTACTTAATCCCATTGCCTTACTTACTTTCATAATTATGCACATAGTTTGTTTATTTAATAATTATGAGGTAATTATGAGTTTACTTTCTTTTTAAAAGGCTCCCATTTTAACCATTTTACAAAATGTAAGATAAGCCTTCGGTGTCTCCAGAATGTGTCTGTAAAGTTTCAGCTCAAAATATTATAAGGTGATTTCAACCCAGGCTCATTCTGAAATGTAGTCCCGTGGACGTTTCTGGAGGCTGCGAAATACGAAATACAGGTCACTGTGTGCGCTTTTTCGTATCTCAAATGTCTCTCATGAGTGTTGTTTGCACCCGCACTGTACCCACAACAGGCCAATGATTGACTGTGCAACCGGCCAATTGACTGACCCACCCCTCTTCCTTCCCGAAACCCAACCAATTTTACCAATTGACCCGCCTACCCACTTACTTCCCTAAACCCAACCAACAATCTACAAAAGCCATCCAGAAAAAGAAAAGCCCTTGTCTGATTTTTACAATGTATTTGGATTTTACCACATTCTCACCCTGTTTTGAATTTCTGGAACTCCTCTTCCCTGGACTCAAACCCGGTCATCGCCATCGTGGTCCACTCCTCTCTGCGTCTCAGGTCCGGTGAAGTACATGACGAGCTAACGGTACAAACTTGTTGCAGAAGGAAAGCCCTCCACCCAGAGGTAAGCAGTCAGCCGGTAAGTGTGAAAAGGGACGGCGTCATATCGCCCCGTAGCGTTCGCTTAAAAAATAAAATGCACCCATAGGTACCTCCGACTACATAATTCTCCAGAAACGTCCATGGGACTACGTTTTTAGAATGAGCCCGAGGATAATTTATTATAGCCTACAGAATCTGTCCATTTTGATGTCTGAGGACTATGTAGCTGTTTTTGTAGCCTGCGGCTTTAAATGCAAATTAACTTCTTCTCTCCGCCCACCGTTTCCACGTGAGCGTCTGCTTCTCATCATGCCTTATGTCAAATAAAGAGCTGTCAGTGACAGAGACGGACAACTTATAAAAAGCACAGATTTGTACCATTTTAATCTCAGTTAATTTATTTTTTAAATGTTCTGTGAATGTGTATACCAGATTTGTAAAATATTTAAATCTCAGTTTATTTATATTTTCAAATGTTCAGTGAACGTGCGTACATGCTATTATAGAAACATGGCACATGTCAATCAATTTGGTGGGCGGGGAAACCGCACTCTTAACTCAGGTTGCAGTGGGCCTTAAAATTACTGGAATTTGACTCCTATATTTTAACTTTAGTAAATTTTAAAAAAGATATTTGCTGTGTTTATATCACCATAATATGACACACTATACCCACACACAGTTCTGTCCAAACAGTTTATAAAAGTTGAATTTCATCATAGGTGCCCTTTAAGTAAAGTCAACTAAACACTTTTTGTTGTGCAGTGTTGTTGCATGAATTTGCCTTTTTTAAACTTTTCACCATTTATTTAGACTGTTTCCAGACTCACCCTGCTAGAATATTGACAATAACGGTGCAGCCCACCATGAAGGGCACCATTGGGCTTTTGCTTTTTCCGTTAACAGCTCCCATCAGGACCACCAGAGTCACCAGACACGTCATGGCCATTTCAGCAAACACCACCTTCCCCAGCTGCTCATCTGATTTCAGAACAGCAAATGCAGCTCCAGTAGCGTTCGCGTAGTTTTCATCTGAAGTCATAACCTTAAAAACACATCTGATCATTGAGCATTGTTTTATGCTATGTATTGGTGATTATTAAGTGTATGGGCCTTGTTCACACCTTTGACATTGCAGCTCCTAGTACACCTCCGATAAGCTGACTGATAAGATACGGGACAACCATCGTCAGCTGCATTCCTCCACATAACCAGATAGCGATGGTGAACGGAGGGTTGAAATGGGATCCGCTGCGTTGAGGAGAAAAACAATACAGTACAGGTGAGACAGAGACTAAATTGTTAACAAATGAGAGGTTTAGAAAATCCCTTTTTTGATGGTTCCCTTTAAATCCCAATTCTGTCTCTGAAGATCCAACTTTAAGCAGAGCTCAGCTGCAACCTTGATGAAACACAGCTGTCTTTAAACACCAAATGCTCCTTCAGATCCTATGTATCCGCTTGTTAAGTAATGACGTGTTTGTAACGTATGTAATACTGTTTCCGGGTCCAAGCTGCCATTCATTTGAGTGGAGAAATCATTTGTTTATGATCACTTTTTATTCCTATCACACATTAAAGTTAATTTTACATAAAGGCATAGTGTACACAACAATCTCTGGGCTTGCTGCATAACTAATACCAAAATTTTAACAATTTATAAAACAATTAATCACTTTCTGTCCATCGAATATTAGGCATGGACATATATATTGCGATCATGACTTTCGAAAGTCTTAAATCGCTTTGTAAACCTTTATTATTACCATTTCATGAATCTCCCCATTCAGTTGATTAGAGCGCTTGGACCCGGAAGCCGCTCCGCGTGACGTCACACTTAACAAGCGGATTGGTTTGCTGAACTCTGCAGGAAGGAAGATCTCCAGGATCAAGATTGGGCTTTAGACATTCCAAGTAACTTTTCTTTGTCAACTGTCATTAGAGTATTTGTAGACTGCATATCTTCTGCTAACACTTTTGTTTGACACTATTCAAAACATTCTTGATAATTAAATTCCCAGCTAACACATAATGTTTCCCTAACATTCTTATATTGTTTCCACTTATTTTGGGGTGAACCAAATTAGGGGCTAATAAATCAAACTGTAGTGTTAAAGTTGGGTTCAAAACTGTATTTAAAAATTGAACTTGGATTTGTTCATATTTTAGCATATTGTTTTTGCATTGAAACAGCTCTATCAAACTGTTAATGTGCAGTTGCCTGCAGCTTGTAAAGTGTATGCCATTTATTTACAACTTTCAAATTGCAATGTGAAGGCCTTGACCTGACCTTTTGATGTTGAAAATTATAAAAATTTTTAAAATTTAGTATTTACTTTTTGTAACTGATGATGTCCAGGTCTCTGGTAATGACCAATAATGAGCACCAAGTACTTTTTTTGTTTTATGTGACTGATTTTTCATAAAAAAGCAGGGGAAAAAAAACTATTTTCAGTTTCATTACTCCAGTCTTCAGGCACATGATCATTTGGAAATTACTCTAATATTAATAATAATAATAATAATAATAATAATAATTATTATTATTATTATTATTATTATTATTATTATTATTATTATTATTATTGTAATAGTAATAAAAGCAATAATGACTGGAGTAATAACATTTTTTACATTTAATAAATGCTGCCCTGGTGAACAGAATAATTTTCTTAAAAAAAAACATGAAATATATATATATAATAATATATATATTATAAGGCTTAACTAGGTTAATTAGGTTTACTAGGCAGGTTAGGGTAATTAGGAGAGTTATTGTATAATGATGGTTTGTTATGTTGACTAGTGAAAAAATATATAGCTTAAAGAGGCTAATAATTTTAATCTAAAAATGGTGTTTAAAATATGAAAAACAAATATGACTGTCTCTAGAAGAAAAAATTATATCAGACTTACTGTGAAAATGTCCTTGCTCCGTCAAACATCATTTAGGAAATATAAAAAAATTCCAAGGGAGGGCTAATAATTCTTACTTTAACTGTATATATACATCCCATAATATGAAGTTTCAAAGCACCTGTGTTTGTTCATCCAGAAGGCAATTTATATGAATAATTGTATTATTATTAATTATTATTAATAAGCTTCTTACTATAACACTTTTTTTGTAATAAAATAATTCCTACCTGATTTCCGCCATACACGCCACCAGCACAGCCACTGCCAGCCCGTGCACAAGTGCTGGCTGCAGTCTTCCAGCTGCTTCCACATTTTCAATAACAGACACACAGCCAATGAAGACAAAAAATGTCGTGCCCACCAGCTCAGCAATGCATGGCTGGAATATTCTTTCGTATTTGCTCTGAGGTTTTGGTTTGTCTCTGTTTAACAAGGTTTTGTCCAGTTCTTCGAGCTCCAGCTTCTCTGCTTCCACCGGCATTGTGCTCCATCAAGTGCAATGAGTAACTCTGGGACTGTGGCAAAGGAAACACTATGATAACAGAGCTCATTTGTTCCATCATAAATCACTCTTTTATCCATGAATGTCTGATATTTTATCATAGGAATATTGTAAATGATCAAGCAACATTATACAATCAAGTTTTAGTTGACATTTAAAAGCTTAAAGAGTAACTGTGGGGTTTTCAGTTCAGAGTTACATCAATGGAGATTTGCTCTCTTATCGCATGTCAAGTTTCACATTTGAGCAGTGTTGTTTCCACTATTATCTCTGTGTTATTTATTTGTCAAGTGTGCCATAACTACTTGGCCTTGCGTTTAAATGCTATCAATCCAAATAGCATTGTAAAACATCACATGGACGCTTCTTGGTGAACTTTGAGCAGAAATGTTAAATATGTTGATGGTTTTAAAATGTTATTAATATACTCAAGGTGTCATAAAATTACTAATACTTAATCATAAATATTTACATTTTATGATAATCCTTTGCAAAAGTCAAAGACTTTACTGTAAAAAATGTACTGCTTTGTTGTTAAAAGTTAAATTTTCTAGTCACCTCAACTTACAAACTGACTAAACATATTAAGCTAAACCTACTGGCTTATTAAAATAAGTTAAAGTAACAAAAACATTTGATGTCGTGAATTTTGTCACATCATTTTTCTTACAGTCTATATTTTTAGCACAGTATAATGATGACCTCATTTAATTTAATTTGCATACAAACAGAAATACATTTTAGTCAGTGGTTTCAGTGAACCAATAGGATTGTTAGTCCTAAAAATTCATTCTATTTATTCATTTTCTTTTCATCTTAGTCTGTTTATTAATCTGGGTTAACCACAGCAGAATGAACCGCCAACTTATCCAGCACGTGTTTTACGCAGCAGATGCCCTTCCAGCTGCAACCCATCACTGGGAAATATCCACACAAACTCATACACATACATACACTACGGACAATTTAGCTTACCCAATTCACCTGTACCGCATGCTTTGTGTGGGAATTGTGGGGGAAGCCTGAGCACCCAGAGCAAACCAACAGGAGGAGAGCAAGCTCCACATAGAAATGCCAACTGAACCAGCCGGGCTTGACTCAGCGACCTTCTTGCTGTGAGGCAATTGTGCTAGCCACTGCACCACCGTGCTGCCTAGTCCTGAAATAGGCAGACAAAAATTACTTCATAATGTTTTCCTGATCAGCATCATGATAATCCCAAACACACTGCTCGTAAAAATTATTATTTGGAGAGAAAAAAAAACACTGACAGTCATGAACTGGCCTCCACACAAACTATACCTAAAAAATTATAGAGCTGGTATGAAATTACGAAGAAAAATTACACTAAAACACTGTAAAAAAAGTCTTTAAAAGGGTTCAAGATGTGCTTAGTGCAGCGAAATCACACTAAATAATCAATTTAGCTTGAAAAAAATCAATTTAAGCTATTTGTTTTCATTTATTTTATTTTCAGCTCAGTCCCTTTAATAATCTAAGATCGCCACAGCGGAATGAACTGCCAACTTATAGACCATATGTTTTACGCATCGGATGCCCTTCCAGCTGCAACTGATCACTGGGAAACATCCATACACACCCATTCACACACATACACTAAGGATAATTTAGCTAACTCAATTTTACCTACAGCGCATGTCTTTGGACTGGGGGAAAAACTGGAGCACCCGGAGGAAACCCACACAAACACAGGGAGAACATGCAAAGAAATGCAAGCTGATCCCGCTGGGGCTTGAACCAGCGACCTTCTAGCTGTGAGGCAATTGTGCTAGCCACTGTGCCACCATGCTGCCCTTGTTTTCATTCATTCATTCATTCATTCAATAATTTTCTTTTCTTTTAGTCCCTTTATTTATCAGGGGTCGCCACAGTGGAATGAACCGCCAACTTATCCAGCATATGTTTTACACAGCATATGCCCTTTCCAGCTGCAACCCATTACTGGGAAACACCCACACACTCTGATTTACACATACACTACGGACAATTTAGCCAACCCAATTTACCTGTATTAAATGTCTTTGGACTTTTGGGGAAACCGGAGCACCCGGAGAAACTCATACCAGCAGGGGGAGAAAATGCAAACTCCACACAGAAATGCCAATGGACCCAGTCAAGGATCGAACTAGTGACCTTCTTGCTGTGAGGTGTCAGCACTACCCACTGCACCACCGCGCTGCCCCTAATTTGTATCAGTTTAGATTGTGTTTCTGTATTTCCTGTTTGTTTGTTAATAAGAGGCTGAAAATTAAAATTAAGATCACTTCAGAGCTGTTTTATCACTTTTCTGGGTTTGTTGTTGATGTGTTTTGAGTAAAATATATGTGTCCAGTGATTATTCTAGTTTAATGGCACCCTGGGCAAACCACCCCATACAATTTAATAAATATAACAATTTATTTAGATTTATTATTAATATTATACAATTATTTTTCTACATAAATAACAGAAATCAATCCTAAATGTAACTGGAAAACAATGTAACAACTGGAGTGATATGCTCACTTAAGACATCTTTTGCATTAATTATAATTATGACAATTCTATAATACAAAAAATGTATATGTTTTATAGAATTGTCGGTAACACTTTATAATAACTACACACTAATCATTTATTAAGCATTACCATCTAGTGAATTCATTATCTGTTAAGTATTAACTCTACATTAATAAACATTTGTAAGCAGTTTATAACTGCAGTTACAAATAATTTAGTCTTGACTTACAACTACATTTATAATGTGCTTAATAATTGTACTTTCATACTTTGTTAATGATATATTTTTCATGACTAATATAGTTACTGCATTATTAACGAACTGTTTGTATTTAGGAATAGTTGGTGGTTTTTAAGATCATTCAGAATGAGTTAGTAAATGACGCCAAATGGGTTGTTTCCACATGAGCAGTGCGTTTGCATATTATAAATACAATAAGTAGGCCATATTCGCGCGTGGAAGCCGCGTGTCTCCAATTAAATAAAAAACGTGCCACACTCACAGAACTAGACCTACATATTCGAACAGGACCACCAACACTGCATGTTTTGGATATCTCCGTCTGACACAATCATTACAGGTCTTGCAGTCTCTGCTAATGAGCTGTTGATCTGAATCAGGTGTGTTTGGTGGTGGACACATGAAAAATGTGCAGGGCTGAGAGCTGATGGTCTGAAGGAACGTGGTTGAAAAACTGCATTACTCATAATAATTATAGAAATGAGTCTAAAATCATCAGATGTGTAACGTTGTCACAACAACACCTCTAAAATCAATTTAAGTCTAGTCCTACAAGTTTCTAAGTGAATAATAACCTATAAACGGTGGCAAAAACAAACTTTTCTAAAATGCTACAAATATCTAAAAGCACTTGCCTCAGTAGAGCTGCAACCTTCTCTTTGATGAATGAACTCTGCTTTGCAGTGGTGTCGTATGTTTATAAACACCTATCAAAAATCCACCTTGCAGACTGTCCTAAACTAAACTAAAATATTGCTGTTTTGGCTTATTGTTCGTTCCAGAAAGACAATATATTTTGGAAATTTTATTTCTGAATTACACGTTTTTTATTAAATCTTTTTTTAACATATTGATAATATGAGGGGCGGGTGAGGACGCTAACCCAACCTTAATCTTTCGACTTTATTAAACGCAAATTAATTTCTTAATGCAGTCTGTAGTTGCCTACCTTGCTGCCATCATCCTGAAAACCACCACTAAACATAACAGTTATAACAGTATAATAACAAAACAGTTATAAAAGGTTTAAGAGAAAACGAGTATAAGAGAAAACATTATAAAATTAGTATTATGCTGCACTAAAAATGAGTTTTTTTAAATATATTTTTATTTTTCATGTGCGCTTGCATCTCATTATGGTAGTTGCTGTCATGATTCAATCTTTCATGTCAGCAAGCGTATTCTGCACTGAAGCTGATATTACTTTGGCAAATAATGTAAATTAAGAGCTGCATAATTACATATTGCAAAGTGAAAACAAATACTTCCAGGCAATTTATAACAAAAGACTTCCTTTATTAATGTAAAAAACTGAATATATAATGACAGGGTATAAAAACTAAAAAAACAACTATATTTGGCGAAGAGACATTTAAGCATCAGGATACAGAAAAGAGTAGAATACTGCATTCATATAAAAGTTTGTCAATATTATACAGCGCTTTACAAGGTAAAAAAGCTTGCAATCCTCTTCAGTTCCTTCTTCCATCATTTGAAAATAACACGGACCTTCTTGTCACCCATTACCAATCTAGAATGAATCAAATAATTGGTCAGAACATTTATACTGGCATACTGCAAATTAAGATCAAACATTTCAAACTGAAACACAAAACTGCAGCAAACATCAAATGAAGCTTAAAGGGACAGTTACGCCAAAAATGACAGTTCTTCATCTACCCCCCCACTTGTTCCAAATTATGAGTTTCTTTCCTCTGTTGATCACAATGGAATATATTTTGAAGATGTTGGAAACTGGCAGCCATAGACTTCCATAGTAATTATTTTCCTACTATGGCAGTGGTTCTCAAACTTCATTCAACGAAATTATATTTCATACAAAATGCGAAGCTGATCAGTCGGTTCTTATCACGTGACTCACGGTGCGGCATTCTGAAAAGTTAAGATGTTTTCAACTGGGGACACCTGGAATACACAAGCGCCTCGTGCTGTAGTTCTTACTCATTTTGCTGGCCTGTGGGTTAAATTTTAACCCTCAAGTGACCAAGATGTAACAAGAGAATACAAGATAAAAGATTTTTCAAAATAAATGATCGTTCAGGCTCAGATTATAGATAAACGAAAAAAATATATGATTTTTTGTGGGGCCCGGTACCAATTGATCTATAGACCGGTGCCGGTCTGTGGCCCGAGGATTGGGGACCACGCTCCACGCACCTCTTTCTCTAGTTATGCGACAATTTAATTGATTTTTAGCAGCTGATGACGCGATACCAT